AGTGAACCAGAAAGCTGCACAGCCTGAGCAAGAGGGAAAGTACTTTCATTCTTACTGCATGGTGTGCCGTTTCTGTTGAGCTCAGTAGTATAGTTCTTTATAAATATTTTCTCTGTACTTTTGAAGCTTTTGTCCAGATATGATGTTAAGATTTGAAAGATTTGAGGACGAATTGCTTTTCGGTTATTTTACCATAATTTTGTGCATTGATCCCTTTTTTTTGCATTTGATAAGAAAAGATTTTTGAATTACTAAATTGATAGAGGTTGCATAGGGAGCTCAGTGGTGGGGATGAGCCTACTAGACAATGACTCTTTTGTCTGGAAAGGCAAAAACCTGTATGAGAATGTAGAAAGGATAGAATTGGTTGCTCTATGCAGTTATACCAAAAAGGAACAGGTTATTTTTTTAATCACGCTCTGCCTGCAAGGACTTTTTGCACTCAGAAATACTGGTTTAAGGGGTCTATTTTATTTCATTCAAGATGCTAGTCTAGTTGTCCTAATTCCCATAGGTTGAGACGCTAATGAAACTGAAGTTCCTTTATTATTGAATCCCCTTCAACCATATTTGCAACAGTTAGGACTTGATTACCTGAGGATTTAGTCTTTAAAATAGTACCTCCTTATATGTAAAGGACGAGGTCTTTGAGACCATGTCTATAGTTGTAATTCTCTGGTTGGACATAACAGAATAATCCCAGAATGGGTACTGAGCTGCATAGCTTTATATTCCTGTTTTTCAATGAGAAAAGGAGCGTGGAATAAACTGACTTTGCCTGTCCTGCCTGTGTGTGGCATTCATGTCAGTGATAAGGAGGGTACTTACGGAAGGTTTGTTTTAATTGCAGTGATAGGGAGAAACAAAATCAATCTAGTCCTTGTGTGTAAGGCCAAGTGTTGTTGCCTCACGCTACCGACAGCTCCTTCCAGGACAGTGGAGAACGCTGTGAGCCTCTTCTGTGAAGCAGCTTTATGGGCTTCAGTTGGAGAATCACCCTTTCTCCTCTGGTTTGTTTTTCCCCTGGTTGTGGAGAGGCATTTACTTTGCATTTGACTTGGACCACAAGGAGCTTTATTTTCACTTGTGGCAGCTGTTTAGCGAGAGTGAAGCAGCCATTTCCTCCTTTGTTCTCGCCATCCAGAACAGGTACAGACTCTGCTGGTGTCTCTGCTGGGGCCCTCCAGAGCTCAGTTTCTCAGCAGATGGTAGCAGAGGCACCTCATGCAGTCCTTGGCCTGTCTGCTGATGTGCCCTTTGAAGATCAGTTTAATGCTGATTCTTTTTGTGTGGGGAAGGAAGGAGTGCTTACAGGAATTGAAATCACCACTTCATTTTACCTGAGCTAGATTTCAATGTACGAAGCAGGGGGTTCAGAGGTCTTCTCCCACCCTTCTAGCATGCACCTTCACCTCCCCATGCTAGAATCGCATCTCTGTGTTTCTGGACACCCACTCCCTTTTCCCACATACTGCATCCATGAAGAGAGATCTGCCACTTTCTCCTCTGTCTGTCAGCCCTGTTTTCTTAGTCTCCCTAGTCCCTTGTGTCCTGAGCAGAAACCATCACGCCAGCAGCTACTGAAGTGAGAGCTGTGCTCTGAGCGGGCTGGACAGATGGGAACTGCTGCCTGTCAGCACCCTGTGGAAGTATCCACCCCACAGCATAGAGAAGTGCCTTCATGTCACAGCTGAGAGCTGCCCCATACCACTCTGGAGTGGTTCAGGTTGGACAGTTTGGGGACCTCTGAGCAGAGACCAAAGTCCCTTATGAGCCTGTTTTCTTCTTGGGCCAAGGTTGGTCTGACATTCCCATTTCTAAGTATGAATATGTCAGGGTTTGGAAGAAGAAGGCAATGTGTGCTGAAAAATATCACTCTCTTTTAACAGTGTTATTTATGCACTTCCTTTGTCCAGTTCATTAATGACTAAGCAGTGGTTGAAATAACAGAAAAGATAACTCCAAGGTTTTTGTAAGGCCATGCTTGAATAGAAATCTGTTTTCTTAACATATCCTCTTTCCTTCCTCTGGGACATTTACTATCTTTTTGTGTTTAGAACAAGGAAAAGGAATGAAGCACGTGCTGTCACTGCCCTTGAACTTCTTTGCAAAGCTGGCACTGCTTCCCCCTCAGTTTTCTTCACTTCTTTTTGGTTTGCCTCAGCCTGCCTTATGCATCAGCCTGCAGGAGGATCCCTCATAAAAAGGAAACCTTTCCTGTGAGGCATTCCTTTCCACCCTGTAAAAAGTCTTTGCTGTAAATTTGCTCCAGGCATACTAAGCGCTTTGCACCAGAGTCATAAATTTGAAGAACTTCATAGAAGAGGATTTGCCTGCAAGTGGGTCACACCAACAGCCCTCTTCAGACGGGGGCTGACACGGTGTGGTACAGTGGGCTTTCTCCTGCATAATAAAATAAAATAAATGACAGCAATTAGCTTGTTGATTCTGCCACAAGCCTTACACCTCCAGCACTTCTGTTCTCTTTGGGACAGGTTTTAGGCTGGGAAGGAATGCAGAATTAAGAACTGCTGGGGAGTGATATCTCTGCAATATCAGCAGGCTCCAGACGTTTAACCACTGAAATGCCTGGCAGGATTGCAGCAGCAAGATGTTGCTTATTCTGTTAGCTAATAGTAGAGATACGTAATTTGAGTGAAGTTGGATGCGAGTGAAGTTTGCGGCTGGTTTATGCCAACGGTAGCTACTTCTGGAATGTCTGGGCTTTTGTCTGTAGTCAGACGCCCCCAGGAAGTGGTGGGTGAGTTTCTTCTGGGGGACGTGGAGCAGTGACTTCCAGCTGCATACAGGGGTGCAGTTACCCCAGCGGTGAGGGGAACATCTCCACGCCCACCAGAACTCACGTTGAGCTGCCTCACTTGAACTTTGTGATCTCTGCCCATTTCTAGCAGGTGGGAGAGGACAATGTTGGCTACAGGAGGAACTTGTAGCTTATTCCACATGACAAAGAGAGAATTGCTAAACTTTAAAGCTGCTTTGCTGTCTTTTATTCTCCCTTAGCCTGTCTGTACAGTAATGGCATTTTACTTTTGTGGTGTTAGCCCAAAACCAAAAGTTTGTAGAACTTAATGAACTTAATTAAGTTACTTGGTTTAAGTAATTTTAAGGGAATGGGATACAGACCCCCCAGCACCTTGCTTTAACACTTGAATCTGTTCTCTCCTCCAGCTGGCAAATTAAATCGAAAACGTAGATGAAGAGAAATTATTATTTCTAGCGCATCCACCTTCCCAATAGGGATGGGTTAGACTAAGGAGCACAATAACTTTCCTAATACTGCTACTTCCAGTTAGGTGCTTCTGTGGTGAGTTATTCAGGTGGAAGTTTGATGCTCATCAAGGTATTAATATCTTTGTTTTGAGAAAAGAAAAGCAGCCATCCTTGCTGGACGACTCAACTGTAGCCCATTTTCAGACTAGAACAGATGTTCTTCTGGAGAAGTGAGTGTTGTCCATGTCTCAGTGATTTCCCATGAGGTGGGAAGTAACTCAGAAAAGCACAGAGCACAGACTCTTGTCAAACTATTGACTTGAACCAGGTGTTTCACTCATTTTTTTGGTAGACCTTAGACATTTAAAGACTTAATCCAAATCTAGCTTACCCTTTACTTTATATTTTTCCAAAATAAAAGCTTTAGTGAATCAAGAAATTATGTTTCTCTTCTGAATCATTGGGAAAAAAAGTAACCAAACCCATAACCTTGCAAATGTAAAAGCAATGAAGGGTTTTAAACCTAAATTTTCCAGAAGCTCCACTGGGCCATGAGAGGACTTGTCATCTCAGTCCAGTTTTGCTTCCAAAACCTAGTGCTTATAATTTAAGTTTCAACATTAAGTGTTGCATTACTGATCATTTTGACAGAAACCTAAGGCTGCTCTGAAGTTTGTGTTGCATAGTAAGTGTCCGGTCTAACTTTAATTGACGTGGTTGACAAGGATTTCATGACTGTCCTGGGGAAGCAATTTTGTTTCTTGCCTGATAGATGACAGGAGGTTCCCCAACTTTAAATCTAAGTTTCTGTCAGTCACTCACAGCTTTATAACGATATGGACTGTCTGCCTCAAACAGCTCAATTTTCAGCTGGCACATGATCATTTATACCCACATAACAACTGGGATTTTATTTCTGAATTTCTTTGGTTTGTCTGACTTACTCTGTTCTTGAAGGGTCATTTAAAGTACAAACAAGTCACCCACCTGTCTATTCATCTTACACAGAGCTTGTGGTAAGCAAAGATGTAGGTCTTGGGCATTTACCTGCTTGCACATGTGTATGTATGTGTGTCAGGCGGTCTCTGGCTTCAACACAAGAAAGCTCGAAACACATGGATCGTGTGGCATTACTGGAAACACTTCTTTATGCTATCATTGCTGATTGCAATAAAGTGCATTTTCCTTCAAGGTTACATAAAGTTCGTATGATTTCAGAGACAACAGGATGGCGCTTACAGCTATGGAGATCCATTCTTTGCAAATCTTAGAAAATGTGTACAATGCCTGACGGCATGAAGCAGTATTCTGATTTTTAGGTTGGGGTGTCGCAGTACCGCATTCTGCTCCTTTAGCTTCTCTTTTTGTTATGTCATTATGTGCTGTCACTCTGCTGGCTTGCTTCCCTCTCCTCTGTGCCCAGAGAAAGCTGGTTTACTTGGGGATAGAAAAGACGAGTGTGCCCCATGGATGGTGCACCTCGAGATACTTAGAAAATGCACCAGTCTCTCCATGAAGAGAGGCCTTACTTTGCAACATATCTCTAATTCTTGGCACGTTGTCTAGGTATCAGAGGGTGAGATGCAGAACTCACACTGAAGTTGTGTAAATAAATCAGAAGAGTAGGAAATTTATTTGATAGTGCCTTCTATAAGTACCAGTTGTCATTACCAAGCTTAGGGAATCATCTGAGGTGACTGATTAGTTTCCGTGCTGAACCCTTCTCTGTGGTGCAGTCCTGATGCAGTTTCTTCTATGTTTATCTTCAGGAGCTTCTGGAAGTGGGAAGGGGGAATCTGGTCGTGTGACGGCAGCCCTTGGCAACACGTGGAGTCACAGCGTCAACACCAGGCTCATACTACAATATCATGATTTGCCGACAAGACAGGTGAGAACTTAACAATGAAGAGAATTTAAATAAAGCTACGTCAGCACTGCTCAGTCAGATGGGCTGACTGTGTCCTTTGGCCTCTGTGGTTTTGCCACATGCATTGAGACCCTGGCACTGTACAGCCAATTGATTATTTGGGGTGGGGTGCAGTCAGTGTCCTTTGCTTTCCAGGAATGGCCAGTCCTCCAGTGCCTCCCTGTGTTAGGACGGGCTTCACTGAGTCACAGGACCTAGCGTTGGCTTGTTGGCACGGGCATATGAGTTCCTTGAGCTTTTCTTGCATTTCGTGTTGCAGAGAGGAAAGGTAATCCTTAAAGTGCTTTCCTGTGCAGGGGTTTTGGGGAAGGAGTAGGAGGCTAGTGCTTACACACCGTGACTGTGTTGCTGTCATCCTTTTCACTCTGTGCCTGTGACTGTTAGGCCAGGGAACACTCTTACCTTCTGCAGCTGCTACTTGCAAGTGGAAGTTTGCTGTCTGCACCAGCAAGCTTAACTTTGAGCAGTAAGTATGAGCACTAATTTTTCAGAAGGCTGCCTGCACAAAGGAGAATGCTTACGCTGTTCACTAAGAGACTTCATGCTTTTGAATGAAATATAGTAGCATTTTTGACTGCAATCTTCACCTCTTCATTTTAAAAAAAAACAACTGTGAAGAATTTGGAGGCAAGACATTTGGGGTTTGATTGAGAGAATAACTTTTTTTGATTGGTTTTAAAAACATCATAACCCATGATTTCATCTGTTCCTTGGGATATCTGCGGTTATAATCTTTTGGCTTTGTCTCTTCTGGTTTTGCGTTGATGTAACTCTTTGCAAAGGCTGAGACTCTCAATGTTATTGATCTTCTGCCCGTTAGAGAGCTGTCAGAAAAATTGCTACATGAAAATTGTACCAACTTACTCCTGTAGCATTATGTGTGTTCAGATGGGTGCTCGCTCCTGGTTTTACTGCCACAACATGAGATTTCTCACTTTTAGGCTGCAGTCTTTAGAGTCAGAGGAGAGGAAGCCATCCTATTTTATTCTGCTTTTTAGAAGTAAAATCATAATGATGGTACTTCTGTTCCTGTGAGTAGTGGGCGCTGTGAAGCAGCAATAGTCCTCTGATCTCGCAGCAGCAGGTTAAGTGTGTCAGACACAGGTGGAAGAGGCATCTTGTGGTCTCACTTCTAAGGACCGCGCACAGTTGTATAGAAATACACTCTTAGTGCTGCTGCTCTTATAAGTTCTCTGTGTTCTGCTTCTTATTCTAGTCTGTAATGAGTTCTCCTTTTCTACATGTGTGTGCAAAATATGAAGCTGTTCACAAATTTCCTGGATTGCTTTGGAGGTACATCGGAGGTGGAGTTGGCAAAGGGAAAAGGGCAGAAACTGGGCTTGGTGCTGCTTCGCGAGGCACAAAGTTGGCTAAAAAAGATCAAGAACATTCCTCTGGTGGTGGAAAGAGGGAGCAGTTTTCCTAAAGAACATTCAGATATTAAGTGCAGTTTTTCCTGATTTTGTTTGAGAAGTAATAGATCACAAGTATATAAAATGTTTTCAAGCCTTTAAAATTCCATTATAAAAAAATATATTATGATTAACTTAAAAAAAAAGAGCAGTTTTACTCTGTTCCAGACTGGCTTTATTCACTTTGCTTGCATGTGAAGCCATGGGCTCATTCTGTTTTAGTTAAGCCAAAGAGCTAAATGTACAGTGAGGAAAAATAACCTTAAAGTAAATGTTAGTATATATTCTTAAAAAGCAAAGTTACTTGAAATATAACTGTGATCCTGTGATATAAATAGTGATGTCTTTGTGAAGTCCATGAATTAAATGGAATATGCCCATGATATCCTGTAAGTATTTTCCTATTGCTGCTTTATGTCTTTTTTTTTTTTTAAGATAAATTCTCTTTTCTTAAGTTCATAGAAATCTTTCAGCTGGACATGCAGTTTCTGGTTAGAGGAAAGCATTTAAAATTACCCTAACTGTAGCAGCACCGTACTGGTTAAATTGCTATAGTTTTACACAAATATGTTCTTCTATAATTGCTTTATACCTGCTTTCAGAAATGAATTGTGAATAAAGGTTCCTCAGTTCTTGAGATGCCATTTCAGTCATCATAAGGTGGTTCTGCCAGGAGGTGTTGGATATCAGTGCTTTGAAAATCAGCACTTTTAAAGGAAGCTCAAGTTGGCTGTTCAAAAATTCCTAAGTCAGAAGTCACTTTTACAAATTTTCATATTACCATATTAAAAAAAAATAATAAAAAAGAAGCCTGTGATTATCTATTTAGTCTTGGTTTTAAGGTGAAATTCTGCCCCAGGAAGTTACTGAAAGCACACAGTTGTTAAAGAGATTTGTGTGAAAAGTAGTGCAAAACAAAGCTTTCACTGCTTTTCACAATTTGTAACCCTGCAGAATCAATACTGTTCAAGGAGTAACCTGTGTTTTGTTCTGACACATTGTTTTCTTTCAAAAGCTAGAATTCACTCTTTCTTCAGTCACTTGACCTCCTGAAAATGCTCTTCCCAGCTTGACTTTCTCTCCTTCTTTCTGGGGTGGCAGTGGTGACACTCTGAGGGATCTTCCCTTGCATCTGACTTCCATGGTGGTAGAGCCAGCGTGCTAATCCTTGCTAGCAAATCCTGCCCGTCAAGAGAGAAAGCACCTCTTGAGGTGCTCTGGCCCGTGAGGCCCCAGGATGGTGTTCTTCAAAATGTGAAGTGACAGTGTAGTCAGCAAGGAGGGTTCAAGCAAGCAGTTTTCCAGAACCGTGGTACCTTCTGCGCTGAACAGGCCGCTGGGCTGCTACGTGCTTGTGCTTAGCCGTGCCGTGTTCATTTCTGGGAAAGCTCAGGGACATGGTCCCTGTTCCCAAAACTTTGGGAAATGCCAGAGCGGAACGAGTATGCAACAAACCTACGGAAATTAGGCATAGAATTCCTACACAGGATTTTTTATAGATATATTTTTA